CAGATACTCATTATTTTTAGATTTTCAGATTTTGCCAGAATATCTTATTTAGTCACCATGATTCTGTTCTAGGATCCTAATACAATGGTTTGAAGATGGTGTTCATCAAAAGTTAATAATAACATTTTAGAACACTTTCTGCCTATCCCATTACTCTCGCCCTTTCCAAAGCCCATAAAATCTATAGATCCCAATGTTTGTCACTGGAGAACTCCGTTCGGATTGACATCCATCTTTTCAACATTTACAAAAGTAGAAGCCCCCTCAGATTACATAGATTCGCATGGCATCCTCTCAACTTTGTTCAATTTCGCCTGTATCCAAGCCTTCTCATGATCTTACTCAGAGTACATCACGGTTGTACTTTGAACAGCTTGACATAACTTACCAAAAGCCTTATAAAATTTCACCGACATTCTCTATGCAAATACTTAGAAGATTCTTCGGCAGATCTACATTCATCATACAGAAAATCATGTATCCTTAAGATTTCCTAAAAAACATAGGGATTATGTTTTATATTTTGTTGTTCAACAATTCAATATTCTTCTCACAAGATACAGATAGAATCTTCTCTGATGTTCATATAAATGATCATTCTGCCAAAAAGATTCTGAATTCTTACAATTCTGAAAAAAATCCGCAGATCCTTATGTTTTTCTATCAAAAACTTACATAGAATTAGTATTACTCTTTCTTCGAGAACCTCCTTACAACAGTCTCAAGGTGTTCTTTTTATGATAAAAAGCATCTTGGGAAGAATTAAAAATGACATAGATGTAAGAATCGTTACCAAATCCTTTTTTTCTCATAAGAAACTAGGAAAAGACTTCTGAATTTTTATCTGCGAAACGAGCATTCTCAAAGATGAATGTCATATTTGTAGCGCTTGCTCCCACGAGAGACGAGATCCCTTCGATAACGACGATTTCTTTTCTTTTTTGTTCATTGTAGTAATTCCCAATATTCCAGCCGATGCCCGATGGGCACAGAATGGAGTGACTGTTGCTGGAGGTCATGGACAAGGCAGTGCTACCACTCAACTAGACTGGCCTTATGGTCTCTTCGTTGATGATGATCAAACGATGGTCATTGCTGACTGGTTGAATCATCGTATCATCCAATGGAAGATGGGTGATACGAAGGGACAAGTAGTAGCTGGTGGCAATGGTAAAGGAAATCGATTGGATCAATTGAATGGTCCAACCGATGTGTTGATCGACAAAGAGACGGATAGTCTCATTATTTGTGACTCGAAGAATCGACGAGTCGTTCGATGGTCTCGTCGTAGGGGCACAATGCAAGGAGAAGTCCTCATCGACAACATCAGTTGTGGGGGATTGGCCATGGATGATCAGAGATATCTCTACATCTCTGACACCGACAAAAATGAAGTAAAACGATATCAAATAGGAGACAAGAATGGAACCCTTGTGGCTGGTGGCAATGGCTATGGTGCTGGTTTTGATCAACTCAACTTTCCGACCTACATCTTTGTCGATCAACAACAGACTGTCTACGTGTCAGACTACTTCAATCATCGTGTAATGAAATGGAATAAAGGTGCAAAAGAAGGAATTGTCGTCGCTGGAGGTCAAGACCAAGGGTATGATCTGACACAATTGTCGTATCCTGTTGGACTGTTTGTCGATACATTGGGTACCATCTATGTGGCAGACTCGCAGAATCATCGAGCGATGCGTTGGCCAAAAGGAGCGAAACAGGGCACTGTCATTGTGGGTGGAAATGGTATAGGAGAAGGAGCAAATCAGTTCCACATTCCAATCGGTTTGTCCTTCGACCAACATGGCAATCTCTATGTCGTCGATGAGTTGAATAATCGTGTTCAACGATTTTCAATCGAATAGACTCGTCGTGATAGATTTTTTTTGCGTTCCTTTCGTTTCAAATAAATCGCATTGGATTGATGAAATGAATGGCTTATTCTATTCGCGCGCGTGCGACCAGGAACCATCCTGGTGGAGCCGTGGCGAGCGTAACGCTCATGCACGCACAGGACAGACTCATATCATTCATACTCTCCACGCGAGAGATATGTCAATGAGTCTGAATAAATCTGGTCGTGTGCCACGGACACCAAGACGATTCCTGGCCGAGCTTTTAGGGACTGCCCGGAAGTCTTGTAAATAAGAAGAACCTAACCTCAACGAATATAACTCACCCACTCTCCACTAACACTCACTTTTCTTAGTCTCACCCTAACCCCTCAATCGCACTACCTATTCTCATCTCAAAAAAAAAATTACTTACCGTGTCTGATGTTGATGACGCGATGATATTGATAGATGAAATGAACAGAAAAAAAAATTAATCAATGTTATTTAATGAAATAGAATGAGATGATTTACCCTAATGTTATCTTTTTCTTCATTATTTATTCCCTAAAATTAATAAAAATAATAATAAAAAGATCAAAAGAGGCCTTACCCCACCATCCTTATGATCGTAAAATAAAAAAAAAGTAAAACTGACACCTACATTTCATTTTGTTGTCTGGTTTGTTGTTGAATTGTTTCACATTGTTTGGTTGAAGCCAATCTAAAACAGAAAAGAAAAATGATTATTATTTGATTCAAAAATTTGAATGATTTTACATAGAAAATCATTTGTATATATACCTTGAAAAATCATTTTTTTCTCTCGTCGAAAATGATATACATATTTAATTGTACATGTTGATCATTGATCGTCAATGATAACAACATGAACAATGATTTATGGACAAGAGAAAGACAAAAAAAAAAGAAAATTCCTCTCTTCACGTATATTTCTTTTCTCATTCCTTTCTCTCTTGTTAACATTAACATACATAATGATTTATTTATGAATTTTTTTAGATTCTATCTCATTTGGAATGAAAATGAAATTGTTTTGTTTATTTTTATTAATGATAATCAATAACAACATTTATGTATAATTATTTTATTTATTATGATAAAATACAAAATATATTACATCAGACGAACTATTACTTAAGTAGACATACTTAATGTTAAAAACTGTTGATTCAATTTCATAGACTGTCGAAAAAAACAAAACAATGAAAGTTTTTAAACACTTAAATTTTTACAATAATATTCTTTTTGGATGAACATATCTAAATATCAACCAAATTTTAGATCAAAATAATTCATTACAGAAGTTTGAAAAAATCTTTCTTTGTTAGGTGGATTTATTACAACAGAAAAGAATGAAACAAGATATATTCTTCTTTTGAATAAAAATTTATTTATATCGAAATATCTATTCTATACACATAAAGATCAACAAAGAAAAAAGATTAAAAAATGTATATATAATAATATTTTTAGTGATTTGAAGAATTTTATGTTTAATGAATAATGTTGACAAATCCATGTGTACAATTAATTTAACTAATAATTAAACAACAACATCGTCAGCTTTCTTCATTATTATTATTTTCATCATCAACATATGATTAATAATCCATTACTTGATTTATTATTCAATACAACTATTAAAATGAAAATATGAATTAATACTATACCAAATTCGGAAACATTTTAATATTAATAAAAATGAGTATGTATTAGATGACAATATTGTTATAAAGAACAAAATATTAACATATATAATAAGCACAAGGAGATAAACAATCCAGAGGAAGAATCGAAACATCTAATCTACGAGACTGTTCCATCACCGGTTATTAAAGTAAGCCTTGATTTTTATTTTTATTTCGTTGTCGCCCTTTATTTTCTTTTTCTTGGGCTTCCAGCGCTGATATTAAGATCTTGTCCAGGCTCATACGATTGATTAGTATATCCGAAATATAGTCTACTGTGCTTAGAAAAACGAATGAAACAATATTAACAAGGAGTATAAGGTAGAGCAGTGCCATTGCGACTAATATAGCAAGTAGGGACAATACGTGTTTATCGATGATGATGATGATGATATTAGGTTTGTGAGTAAGGGTAATTGTTTGAGAGAGAGTATGATTGTGTATTTCACTTGATGATAAAATATTCGAGGAGATACCATTAATGTAGGAGGATAAGTATACATGTATTAAAAATTTTCTTTTTGTTCTGTTCTTCTCATGATTCTCCTCTCTTTGCTTGTCTCTTGCTCTCTCTCTCTCTCACTGTGCTTCAGTCTTCTTCTGTTTTATCAGGATGACCTTTAATAGGGATAGTTACTTGAAACTTTCAGGATACCGTGAAAAACAAAGAAGCTCTTCATCACTGCAGTGAATGACTGAATCTGATGTCCCATGAGTTGCCATTCATGTCATTGCTTGTTCTAGAACATCGATGATTAGATTTTCTTGACGAAAGATATTGTTTCTGTGTCAGTTATATCGTATGTTCATAATTGGTGACAAAGATTATCATAACATCAAACAAATTTTTATAATCCTATACAACTGACATCTATATTTGGTGACATCTGACTTTTGTATTCTTTTATCGTCAGACTATTCAGCTCAGTTTTCTTTACTATGTTTGGATGACAATTTTATTGTTCGACTCTTTCATATGAATTAATTGTTGTCTTCATAAGTCCAAATTCAGTAATTGGAGTTTTTCTTCATACAGAATGTTGATAACCTATGGATTATTTCTACAGTTGACTCATGCATCCTGTAACGACGAATATGGACAGAGGAAATGCCTTGCGCTAAGAGCAACGCTTTATTTGGCTTCTTCACATCGTCAATCGTCCCATCTCCTATATTGACACGAGCTTATATAGGAGAGGAGCGGTCAAGCAGAAGAAAGAGAGAGCAACATAATAAAAGGAAAGAGAGAAGGACACACGCTGAGTCGGTTTATTATCAGCACACATCCACCTTCGGATAAGTGAAAAAAGAGAGTGATTCTTATCTTACTCTAAAAAAGAAGAAACGAAGTCGAATTTCAATTCTCTCTCGTAGTATTCACTTTACATAAAACATCGTCTTGTGCTCTTTTACATTCATCAAAATAGTTTATGCAAGCAAAGAACAAAACAAGATGGATTTTGAATTGTTACCTAATGAAATTTTACTTGATTTATTCGATTATTTTGATGGTATTGATCTTCTTCGTGCATTTTATAGTCTCAATTATCGATTTAATGATCTTCTCTACAATCAATTTCGATTGTATCGCTTTAACTTTTCTTCTATTTCTAAACGTGATTTTGATATGATATGTCAACAACACTTACCATTCATTACTCAACGAGTTATTTCTCTTAGTCTTACTGACAATTATAATATCCCTGAACAAGCTAATCTCTTTCTTTCTTAAATACCATCATTCAATCCCTTTATTCACTTACAATTACTTTCAGTGGAAGGTTTTCATTCATGCCGAACATTAATGAAAATCTTGGATGAATATGATCATTCATGTAATCTCACTTATTTAACAATTAATTCCTATAATTGTGGTGCTAATCAAGGTGAATATCAATCAATGATCAACAGCATTTGGAGTTTACCCAAACTCATTAAATGTAGTTTCAATACCTACGTCCTAGCACATACGGTTTTTCAAATACCAACAAACATCCCTTCATCACTTGAAAGTGCATCTATACCTAGTCATGGACCTGAATTAAATCAACTACATACATTGATTGAATGTACTCCTTGTCTTAATAGACTTCATGTATATCTTGACTTGTCTAGTTATGACAACTATATACCATTGACTCTTTCAACATTAATCGACTTGAAACTGGACAGTAGCCATGTGTCTGCCGTCTCATTAATGAAATTTCTTTAAAGCACACTCAATTTATTCCGTTTGAGTATCAGTTTATCCTTTAGCTCAATTAACGGATATGAATGGGAAGAAATCATTTGTAGTTATTTGTCTAAACTTCAAGTACTTCGACTTCAGGTGAAACAGAGAACATTTGGTTTATCTGAAAATATAATACAAGAACGTGCTGATAAATTACTTAAGTCATTTCAAACTTCATTTTGGACTAATCAACATCAATGGTTTGTTCGATGTTTTATAGAATACCAAACTATTTATCTCTTCACTCTATCTATAACATTAAATTACGACGAGCTTGATCTCCCTCATTCATTGAAATCGACTGATCCCCATTATGATCATCAAGAATTTTATAATAGCATCACTTCTATACAGAATTACAGATTGTTTGATTAACCAATTTCATCCTACATTCGTCTTCGTAATATAAAAGATCTTAGGATAAAATTTCCTCTTAATGATCAGTTTTGGTCTATTGTTCCAAGTTTGAATAGACTGGAAACACTTGTAGTCTATTCACATGCTGATAGTTTTCAATCTCAATTGCAAGTTTTACTTGATCGTGCACCTAACCTTCGTTGTCTAGATATCCGTCAAGATGAATCATTATCTTTACAAATGTCATTATTCCAGTATAGAACCTCATCAGTTCGTCAACTCGATTTCCGAGGTTATAATTATTATGTCAATGAAGAAGAATGTATTAGATTATGTCATTCACCATTATGTATTCAATGTGGAGTTCTTTTTATCAGAATTAAGAGTCGTCATAGTACCATTTATCTTGTCAAAAATATGATAAATCTTCGATCATTACATGTTAAACGTGACGATGAAAAGTATCATAAACGATGAGCAGCAGCAAAGAATAATAATGACAAATATCGTGATGAAAACGTAGAAAATGAAGAGGAACTTATTGATTGATTAAAAGATCGTTTACCATCGACGTGTTTATTCTCAAAAAGTGCACATTTTCCTAGTGATATTGTAATATCGATTTGATGATAACAAAGAAAAGTGAACTTATCATTTAGTCCGGAACATACATTATCTTTTAATGATACTGTTCAAGAATAACCATTTTGTGGAACTCACATATATTTTCGAAGAAAATAGTGAGTGTAAGTTTTAAGTTCAAGTTTTCGCGATTTTCCCTACTCCCTCTCCATTACAGACATCCCCCTCCCCCATTATAGACCTTTGCAATTAAAAATAACAGGTGTCAGACTTTCTAGCTTTTTTCAAAAAATTGATCAAATTATGATTTTGAAAGATAATCAACATCATTGTTTGTGAGCTGATTAGCATATACAATAGTGCATAAGATCTTCTGTAGATATCATGAATATATAAAACAGATTTATTCGCCAATTAATTTAATGATTATTATAATAAGAATGTTGAGTTACGAAAAACGATTTAAAATTTAAAAAAATGAAAGATAATGAGCGAATAGCAACAATGCAAAATAAAAATAGGGCGCTCTCAAATAAAAAAAAGATTCTGTTTTAAATGTAGACATAAATAACAAAGTCTCGCTCATAAAAATAAAATTATCAAACATAATTAAGGTGATCTAATCAAGATTTGCAGTTTAGCACTCATTTGGTGGATGAACTGACTCTTTTTTATGTCATAGAAGTATTAATTAAAGTATTGTTTGAGAATTGATTTGAAATTAACAAAATAGCCATTGTATTAAAGAATGGTATGGGAAATTTGTGCAATCGCTAATTATCATGGTTCAGATTTCGTCTCAACAAAGAGAATCATCAGATGGTTTAGAAAACTATCAATAAGTTCGAAAAGTTATAAAAAGAGTTAAATTTATTTTGTTTTATAGTTCTTAAAAAGAACAAAACTTTGACATGTTGAGGATGTGGGTGTTAATCTTCAATTTATCCAAATCCACACTTACACCCACACCCATTTTGTGAAACACGATCTGAAAGAAATGTTGAAGTGTTTAGGGGCAGAAATTTGCATCCACCCCCTCCCCTTCACAGATCCTGACAGAGAAAACTCAGTATCCATTACAGAAATAGATAGACCTGTTCTTATATGAACTACAATTAAATGTCACTAGAAGTTTATGGAAATATGTCAATTGTTTCCTTGTTGCAGCTCCAGAAGAATTAATAAACAATGATAGTTTTTTTATCATAAAGTCAAAGATATCTTTATATATATACAGTTTGGATGTGAGTGGATAGGGTTGAAATGAACATTCTGACACTCAAACATCCACATCTACACCCACACTCTAATTAAGTTCAATCTACTGGTATGCATGGATAATATGAATGATTGAATATATATCCATGTATGTTAATGATGATTAAAACTTAATTAATATCAACGATACAAAGTCTATGCGAGAACAAAGAGAGAGAGAGAAAATTCTCTCTCTTTCAAATGAGTATAGATACTCATGGTTTTTCAATGAAATTTCATCTCGATTTCGGAATAAATACTATTCTGTTTTCTTTCTATTTTAGGTTGGTCTTCAACCAAATAACAACCACAAGCAAAATTATTTCAAAATAAAAATTGTGAATGTCGTTTTTAACTTTTTTTTCATTTCATATTTATATACTCATCAAGATCATTTGAGATAAATAATTATAGAATGACTCACTTAATTTTACTAGTATTTTATTCATTTTGTTGTATTTCTACGAAACATCAAAGATTTTTTTTTTTTAATTTTTATATGGTTTGATACTACAATTTATTACTTTATCTAATAAATAGTGTTCAGTTGATGTATATAGCATCTATTGATAAGAAATAAAAAAAATTCTATCGCCCAATAAATACAAGTTTCGCACAAACTAGTAAAACTAATAATTCAAAAAGAGACTTCAAGTATAAAATGTAGGAATACAAATAAATGAATTGTCTAATAATTGATAATTGTTTGGACTAATTGAAGAGAACATCTGAAAATTTAATAGAAAAAACGATTTATTTTATTTGCGCTTCTTGAAACTCATTAAGGTTTTGATATATCCTAACTAAATCAAATGAAAATATTTAATTAGATAGAACAATCGATGCTCTACCAGATACTATACATAAATAAAGAACTTCTGATGTTTTGTATAAAAATTCAGCAAACCAAAAAAAAACTATTAAAATTAAATGAAACATTTTCTACTCATCGTTTGATCTCATAGATCAAATTTTTCTCTTGCTTTTAGTTTCAAGTCAGTAATTGTATTTCTATTTCAGGTCTCATCTAGGTGAGTTCTGATTTCTTTTTACATAATTTTACAATTATTAATATAATTCTTCTTTTCTTTTTAGATTCATAGCATCGCATCCAATACAATGTAGGTACGTCCATTTTTGTACTTTAACTAATCTTCTATTTTACCTCCAAAGCTTTAAAAGAGGGTTTCCGTTACAGAGAAATTGCGGGTTATTCATTTATAAAATCTTATCATGTCTTTCGGATTGACCGTAAACACCGGCTAGGAACGTTGTCAGATAGTTCAAGGTCACGCGTGAATACAATAGAAACGAGAGTGTAAAGCAATTGAATCACATTTATTGAAAGGCAAAGAAAAAAATAGCATTCGCATAGTGTTTTAAGCATTTGAGGCAATGTTAAATTTTTGCACTCGATGATTATAGCGATCGACGACATAGAGATTGCCGTGTTGATCGAATGATAAACCAAAGGGCCAATTGAGTTGATTCGATTCTCCCCCTTGACCATTTCCACCAATAATGACACTTCCTTGTGTGGCTCCTTTGGGCCAACGCATGATTCGATCATTTCCTGCATCAGCTACATAGACAGTGCCTAATTGATCGACAACGAATCCTCGAGCATATGACAATTGTGTATAATCATTTCCTCGTTCTTGGCCGCCAGCCACAATAATGCCTTGTGTTGCATCTTTCGACCATTTCATCACACGGTGATTGTTCCAATCAGATACGTACACTGAATGAACTCGATCGACGAATACGTATGTTGGCTCATCGAGTTGATCGAGACGATTTCCACTTCCATTGCCACCTGCAACCACTGTTCCTTCCGATTCTCCTCTTCGATATCGCCTTACTTCATGTTTTCCTTTGTCAACGACATAGAGAGATCCATTCTCGTCCATTGTCAAAGCCACACAAGTGATGTTGGAGATGATTATTTCTCCATTTGTTCCATTTCGACGAGGCCATCGAACCACTCTGTTATTCCAACCATCGCATATGATGAGACTATCTGTCTCTTTGTCAACAATCACATCATATGGGTAAGACAATTGATGATCTCTACTTCCTTGTTCGTTTCCACCGGCAACCACTTGGCCATTCGTCACATCTCTTTTCCATTCCATAATACGATGATTGTTGGGATCAGCAACATAGACTGTTTGTTCATCATCCACAAACAAACCCCATGGATTATTGAGTTGATCGGTTCCATAGCCATTTTCCTTTCTTCCAGCCACTGTAATACCATTTTGTTTCCAGCAAGCATTTGGATGAATGTCAATGGCACTTCCACGCAATGGATAAACTGAAATAGAGGGAGAAACGAGAGAACCATATGATAATGTAAGAGAGAAAGGAAAAAGTGAAAAGTCCATTTAAATTATTATAAAATCAACAACGTTTCAAGTTCTGATTCATTGTCAAATTTCTCTTCTTAATGGGTGTTTTCTTTGTCTTTTTTTTCGAAGAAGGTGACACTATCAAAAACTTATTTACTTCGCTTCTCGTTTTGTCTTTCTTTATTACTAAATTCGTCATCAGATAACTATTAATACCGGGTGTACCAAAAGTTTGACAACATTCGGTATTTTTCAAATATTTCAGTAGAGATCAATCGTGTAATCTTGATTCTTTTTTTAAAATATGCGCCATGAAAAACTCTACAAAACTGTAAGAACAAATTTGTATTGAGTATTTCTGATGGTGTCTCTTATACTCAAAATGAATACGTCCAATGATGGTTCAATATTCCAGAGAATGAAGTATTCGAATGACTATTTTTGTTTCGTAATTAGAACTTGCTCATACAGATTTTATAGAGAGTGTGCGTATGGAATAGAAAACATTGAAATTTCACATCCTTTTATCGACTAATAGATAGAACGAGAAAGAACCTCGAAGAATATGAGTACTTCAAAAAAAAATTAAAAAGAAAAATCTTCATTATATTCATGTAGATTTTAATAAAACCTTTCCTTTAAAGATATATTATCAGCGATTAGCAACTCTATTAAAAATATTCAATTATTTATTATACTGCTTTCCTTTTTAATTTCAAAAGAATTTGGAAATGTTTATAGACAGATTAAGAAAGAGATAATAAAAAGCTCATACTTCTACACGAATTGTGAAAAAAAAAACTAAGACTATCAGAAATTGAAGCTATTTTATTTATTTTCTTATGTCTTCCTTTTCTTGTGTTCGTTAAATGTATGCTAAAGAATTTCTGTATTTTTTTCTTTTTTTTTCTCATCTTCATATGATTTCTCTACAGAATGTTAAGCTCATTACAAATTCATTTATTTGGCGTATTATACTCTGCTTGTAGAGTCAATCGATTTTTATGTTACATTTCTTTTCATATATAGTTTTCCTTTTTTTTTGTTACACGTTTTCTGATGTGAAAAATTAAAAATAATATCAAGATAAAGAGTTCAAGAGAAGAAAAGACACAATATTATCCTGACGTATTTTTACTGGTTAAGATAAAATCTATGCTTACATGTCATTTGAAACTCTTAAAAGATTCGTCTTCGGACCCACAGTTTTCAACGATACTTAATCTCAATTAAAAGTATGCTTTTTTGTATATACTGAAAGATTTCAGTTCCACCAAGCGACCTAAACTAAAGGTTAACTTATGATAGGGGTTTTAAGCCATAAACTGAGAATCTCTTTACACTATGCCATTACAAAAAACATAGAACTTGGAGTTATTTCAAAAGAAAGTTAACATTAGTGAACAACTTTCCAACATAAAAATTACAGTTTTTGTTAATTATTTTGCATCTAGAATTTAAAATCAGACCAACAAGAAAATCTTATTTTTTCAAGACACAATTCTACTTTGCTGAGTTCAAAATGCAAAAATAAAAGGGTCTCAAAAGATTACATTTTATATCTTGTTTTGAATGATACGTCTTATTTAAAGATAACACTGTTACTTTCAACATATTTCATCATCATGTTTTATTCACCATATAAAATGATGTTTCTATGCATGTAAAAGTTCCGAATCTTTAGAGAAAAGCTTTTATGTTACGCACTAACATTAGATAAAAAGACTCTGAGTCTGAGGTACTATTACATAAGTTTTAATTTCTTGCAACAGTTGCTCTCACAATGAAATGCATATCAGAAACAGTTTTTTGTACAGAAGTGAACGCACTTTTCAACTGTACAAAAATGATGAGTGCAGGTGATTTTTAATTCTTATTTTTTCAAGAAAATACAGGTATGAGAATTTTAATGTTTCCAAACATTTGCACCTTACATCTTGACATACATTTTTAAATTAGAGAGAAATACATAGACTACAATGAAGTTTCTTTGAAAATTATCTCAACTTCATGTTTTTACAGAAATCTACCTTTTATTTAAGAAAATGGAGTAAAGCAACACATGAAGATATGATGATAAAAATGATTCAACTAACTGTAATTGTGTTCATTTCGTAACGTATGAACTATCAATCAATATCGACTGTACTCAGTTGACATCATTATGAAGAAAGTGTTTTATTGTTCATTTGAAGTTTTATGTTAGAATACAATATAGACATGTTGCTTCTTCACCTATTTAAGCTACAAAAAAATGTTTAATAAAAAAGAATGGAAAAA